CTTTAGCTCCAGTCGCAATTACCCTCCCACTCATCCTCGCGGCCTTTTTTCTACCATCAGCCATCTCGCTTTCATTCTCAGACGAAGTCTCACCTCTACATCCAAATCAAGTATTTCTAACGCTGGTTAGTTGATGGATTAAGGAGCATCTCACCACATCACATCCGACTCGCAAAACCTATCTCTTCACAGTAGTGATGATGGTAATGTGTAATGGTACTAGCTTAAGCTTGCATATTACTCAGAATGGTTCTACCATTCTCCCTTCCTCTAAATTGTTTCTTTTATCTAATGTTCTGTGTCCCTTCAGAAAAAAAGAAGCTAATTTCTATTTCTAAACTTTGTCATTGCAATCATGTCTCAGTTGAATTCTTAAGTTTTTCATTTGTGGTGAAGGATCTTCGTATAGGGGCACCAGTGATGAAGGGGCATAAGTGAGATGGAGTTTATAAGTGACCTCGTCATCGCACGTGGCTTCTTCTTATAAACCGATCTGGAAAACCTGTATCCAACTCTGGCACAATCGTCTTGGCCATCCTTCTATTAGAACTCTTCTACACATTATTTCTTTGCATAAACTTTGTCTTCCGATTTTCATGAAAAGATTTTATGTAATGCTTGAAATTGTAATAAAATGCACCAAACTTCCATTTTCTGTTTCAACTTTAACGAGTAGTGCAGTGTTTGAATTAATATATATATTCAGATGTATTGGGTCCACCTTGTGTTGTGTCATTTGATGATTTTCAATATTATGTAGTGTTTGTCAATCATTTGACAGAGTATTTATGGCTATTTGAATGTCGTAACCATGTTCACTAAATTCAAATTGAATGTCGTAACCATGTTCACTAAATTCAAATTAGTAGTTGAAAATGTATTACAAAAACAATTATTAATTTCTCTTTATTCCTATGGCGAAAGGTGAATTTCAAGGCCTTAAAACTTTTCTTGAATCTCGTGCTTTAAGCCACATTCTCACCCCTCCTCACACCCTAAACAAGAATTGCGGAATGTGTGGTTGAAATTTAAAGTAAATTTATTGGTTTGAGTGAATGTATGTTTGAGATTGTTTACTGTAGAAAACAATAGTCGTAAAAATGGTAAACAAACAGGGGCGAAATATACATGCAAAATGGAAATTAAATATTAACTCCCATTCAAGGGACCAATCGTTTGCCGTCGTGATTTGGGTTGAGATTAGCTACTTGAAGAATCATTTATCTTCGAACTTCAGTTTTATGTGCATAGAAATTTAACAATTGATCATCAACAAAATCCGAAGTTTCTAATCTCCAACAATCAAGGGCGGAGCCAGAAAATAACATTAAGATGGGCTGAAATTTAAAAAAATTCGAAAGAACTCACGCCATAAGAGGCTAAACTCATGACAATGAATGTACGACACTCAATAAAATAAAAGAAGTCCAGATGTTTTATCCTAAGATGTTCCACTTAATCTTTTTATATTTTCTTTCCAAATAGAAAATTAACGCATGGGAAAAAAATATAAATTGACCAAATTATAATCGAAATAAGCAAATAATACATATCCACTAATAAAAAAACTAAGAAATTATTTAATAAATACTATTCTAAAAAACTTTGACGATCAGTTTTTCTAAACAATTGAAAGCTTTGGCCGAAACACGCTATCAATAATACATCACTATATGTTGTTGTCTCAAAATATTATTTGGTGTGGACGTCATTCTTTTATATCACTTCATTTCATAATAAGTGAAGAATCATATCCAAAGTGAGAAAAATCGAATAAGAATTATGAGGGTCCAAGGAAATTAGATTTAATTATAACTATATTTGGCTCAGTTTCAAGAATATATCTATATATAGATCAATTTATAAATAA